TAGACAATGCATGGCTTCACAGCCACACGCACCCACACCCACCCACCGGGGTCCGGTAATTCATGGAAGATTGTTGTGTCGTCGTGCAGAAACGCTGTGGCCGATGCCGCCATAGACACCTCACCCTTCACCACTAGATTGCTGTTTACACGGCAGTATGTAGATCTAGTTGAATGCTCGCCAATAGTGATGATGATATCCAATTTCATCACAAAATCGTGATTTTGCCAGAAAGATGGCAAATGGCCATTTCGATAAAAAAATAAGAGTGTACAAACACGTATAAAGCCCGTATGTCTAAATATTTACGTAAACTACAAGCGAAACGTGACCAGATTACGAGGTATAACGTCTCACAATGACGCAAGTCTTACCCGGCTGCTTGCATTGCCGCGCTGTTCATCACTGTCATCATCGTCACCATCACCATCGGCAGCATGCCGAGGCATCATGGCCTTTGCCGTGGCAGGCGCTGTGCTGGAGGTCACGGAGGTACTAGAGAGACCGGCTTCGAGGATGCCTTCTCGATGGTGTTGGTTCGAGGTGAGGTCAGAGGAGGGACGCTGGGGACTGCCTGCCGCGGAACCCGTCGAACCGCCAGATTCGCGATCCTCGATCACCAGATCGATGGGGATCTTGCTCTTCAGGCAGGCAATGTAGCGCGTGCAAAAGTTGTCACACAACTCGTGAACCTGCAGCACAATTCAAAATAATGCGCTCTGCCAAATAAAGCCTGTTGGAACCAACTCGGGGTAATTCTACAGAACAATGTCAGACTCAGTGTGTAGTCCTCAACGGTAGCTACCATTTCGATGTTTGAGATTGGAGAATGCATTCACTGCTGAGCGTTCTCGACGACTGAGTTAGTGTCTAAACTGTGGTAGTTATTTCCACGATCACGCTTTAAACTCTGTTTGTATCACCGGACAACTTCGCATCCTGTTGGGAGTCCATTAGACAGAGAACTGATTAAGCTGGTGCATTTTAGTTGCGCCAACCTCTGGGTGTCGAAACAGGGTCGGGTAGTCGTCCCAGTTTGGTGCAGTTTGGGTTAAAGTTTATCTGGCACTGCGAGCGATTGAGATGAAGCTAGCAACGCATCTTGCATGAATGCGTCAGTGTGAGGATGGTTGAAGTGTGGAGATGTCAGAAGTCAGGTACCGTTGATGATGCTGAAACGGAGGCTTGGCCACTCCGACAGGAACTCAACTCCTTGGT